AATTTTAAACATACACTACCTAGCAGTGCATGCATTTGCTCTGTAGGCATTGCTTTGTGTAATCACAGTAACATATAATATGCTGTATTTGTTATTTTAAGATCACAGGTTTGAAACCATAGTCTACCATATTTGGAATAGTTTAAACAGAAAACTTCTTATAAGACAAATCTTCAGCTGGTGCAGTTATTTCTGATCTTCTGTTTTTAGCCTCCTCCCACCTTTTCTGGGGTGCGGCGCAAATTCAGAAGTGGAGGGCATGGGAAAAAGAATACGGACTTCCACTTCCTTCATGGACTGCTTCTCTCAGCCAGTTGTGGTGAACATTTGGGCAAGTTTTCAGACCAAAATAGCATTGTAGCCCAACCCAAAAGATTACATAGCCCCTTTTACCAAGATGGGAGTACATGTAATAACCCGCTGGTTATGTGTGTTATCTGTGCCCTCTGTGCCTGAGCCACAAAGGGTGTGAGTCTGTTACAGCCCACAGTATGGCGCTTAGCTGGAGGCTTCTGTGTTTAGCTTTGGAGGTTCCCAGCTTGTACCCCAGTGTGTCAGCCAAGATGGCAGCTGGCACAATGTCATCTGATCACAGCAAAGAGGGTCAGGAGATGAAACAAGAAATTTGTGTGTCAAAAACTATTCTTTGGAAAAAGATAGTTTGTATGTAAAAATGGAATGTGCCAAAAGGTGCTTCTGTACGACACCATGTAATGTTCTTAATAGATTGTTTTGTACATAATGCATTTGGTAGACATTTCTGTAAACAAGGAAAAATGTATGATTTGACTGAAATATTCCTGAAAAGCAAAACTGGCAGTTGAGACACATGTTGATGGAAAATCACATTGGCCAAATGAGATTCTAACTTCTGGTTGTCTAGAAAGGGATACTGTGTGTGCAATACCTTGGCTGCCAAGAATGCCTGCCTAGAATATAACAGGAATTGTTGTAAAGTCTTTAATGCAAAGCCAACATGATGGTTGAATACTAATGTGTGAGGACTATATTCTGCCTGCAAACTACTCCCATTTTAAATTCCCTGCCATTGACTATGGATGTTCAGAGCTGACTATGATACTGGGACTGGGGAAGGAGGAGGAATAATTAGTAATCAGAGAGCAGTTGGCTCTGTCAGAAAACCAGATAAAATACCTAAACATAATCAAATGTTGATGCCAAATTGTACTAGATATAAAACTGGTTGAATTGTTGAATTTATTCCTAATTCCAAATCCCTTGTTCCCACTTACGAAGTTAGCTTCTCTAGCCATAGTATGATCTAGGCTATAACCAATGGAAGGTAGGAGAATTTAATCATACATGTTTTTTAATTTTCATCTGAGTCACCAAGCAATTAGCAGAGATTTATCAAATCCATACCAAGTTAAAATATAGTTGAATTACAAGTAGGATTATAGTCCACACAGCTCCATAACTTGTATATGTGTTCAAAAATCAATTATTTCTTATGTATGAAGGGATCTCCCCTCTGTATCATTATGCTCCTCGGTTTTTATTTTTCTATGAAAATCTCTGGGATCTCCACAGGACCTTCTGTATACTTAGCAAAGGAGTTGCCTCAGTGCCAATACATGCATTTTTTTTTTCATTTTAAAAGGGGCTATACTGAAAATTTTACCATACGCTGTTGCTTCTCACTTCTCTGACAACACATCTTGTAGCTGTGCAGATATATTTCTCTTGTACAAATAGATGGGAGCCTATTTATAGAATATACACCAGGAGGTTTTTCTTAAGGGGCAGAGGTGGTGCCACTGGGCCTATAGAAATTCTTCTTCAATACTTGCATGTTTGAAGGAAAGTCCTATTAATCACTTAGAGACCATTAAAAAGAGTAGTAATGATAAACTCTCAAAGTTGGACTTATTAATACAGGAAGCTGCTAAACCAGGTGCTTGATCCTTCCCTTTCTCTTCTTCAACTAGCCTTCCCCGTTCTTTGTTCTGGCTCTCTTCCCCCTCAATAGCACTTGTAAGGTAACTTATTTTGTTAATGTAACTTTAGTTTTGATAAGGATTATATATCGGAGATGTGAACAACGATCTGATCATTAAAGAAAGCAGCTTGGATGACATAATCACACTAGTTTGATATCACTAAGACCTGTGAGAAGTAAATGCAGGTTACATAGTATTTTGTGTAACATGAATGTGGCTATATATTTTGGCATTACCCATCTTGTTTTGGTGAAGGAGTAGTTATATAGATGTCCAACTAAGAGGTTGCCGAGTTAAATCTTCTTACAGAAGTTTAAATAAATAACCCTGATGAGAGCTACCGTTAAATATGGCTGGATTTCAGATGCTTTCATTCATGCATAACTTTACTTGCTTGAGTAAGCCTGCTGAAGTCAATAAGACTACTCCACATTAGTGAAATATTTGTAGGATCAGGGCTCAAATTAAGGAGAAAAACTGTTGATTTTGTCCCTTACAGTTCTCTGAGTCAATTCTTGAGCTCATTTTCAGTTCTTACTCATTCGTTGGGCAAATTCCCACTAAAGTTATATGGCACCACATGTGTAGATTATGAAGTCTTCCTTCCAGTATTTATGTAAATTAATTGTTGTTTGTGATGATGGTAGTCTAGAGGACCCACTTAAAATTGGAGCCCCATTGTGTTAGGCACACAGAGATTGAAGACACAGGCCGTGCCTTCACTGCTAAAAAAAGGTGTGTTTTTACCATAGAATAATTAATGTGCTTTAGCTATGCTGCTGCCAAATCCTAGAGGAGACATGGCATCTGTAGTTTTTACTGTGAGGTCAACTATAGTCAGGACTGAATGTTGACCTCACCTAGCTACCTCGTGGTAAAAACTACAGGTGCCTTGTCTCCACTAGGGTTTTACAGCGGGATAGCAAATACATGTTAGTTATCTTGCTGTAAAAATCTCACCTGTTTGGTAATGAAGACATAGCCACAGAGTAAGAGACAATCCCTGCCCCAAATTGCTTGCAATCAAAATAAGCAAGACAGAAAAAGGTGAGAGGCAAGGGATATAACAAGCAAGCAGTGTGCATAATGTAGTGATTTCCTAGCGCCATATTAGTTCCATGATTTTTTTTATTTTGGATTTTTATTAACTTTTTAGAGGTGGGAAGATTCTTGGAGCTCACATGACACGAGGGGACATGGTGTCACGTGAGTCCTGAGGTTCCTGGGTGGTGGACTCCGGCTACACTGTTTTGAGGTGTAGGGGGAAACGGGTAGTGTATTATTATGTAATGTATGTAGTAGTGTAAAGTAGTGATCCCTTGTGATTTACCTGTTGGTTAAACAGTATATCATTGTTTTGCATGGATAGGAGGGACTGTATCTCTCTCTCTCTCTTTTTTTAATCATGTTTTTAAAAGTTGTAATTCACAATATTTTGATGCCAAACCAATGAATCACAAAGTTGGGACTCCTTGTAATTAACTGATGTGGCATCATGATCAATAATTGCAACATATAATTCAAACTGTGGGCCAGCCCCAGGGGAGTACTTCTGAAAGCCGCAGCTGGTTACAAAAATGAGCCTGCCAAACAGCCATGGCTTTCATAAGCCTTTGCTGGGTTTTTTTGCCCCCTCTTATGTTTTGATTTAAAAGGCCAACTTGAGGTGTCCTGATTCACCACAGAATAATGTTTGCATTCTCTTCCCCTTGCAATCACAGGCCTTATCTCAAAGCTGACTTGCGCCTGAGGGAAACTTTTGTCCAGCTTTTGATAGATCTCTTCTTTGAGCCAGGCTGGGCCTGACCCATCCTGGACAGGTCATTTAAGTGAAAGTGAACCCTGGGCATCTTAAATTTGGGGCCAAATTATCTATTGATTTTTAATTGGCAAAGCTGTAATGAAGTTAGTGGCGCTCCACCAATTTACATGAGTAGACACTTGGCCTGTGGACTGGAGTTTGAGTTTATTGGGGAAAAACTGTTGCCCAGAGATTGAAGGAATGATTTCCAGTGAGCACTAAAGCTGTATTTAAATGGACTGATTTTTAGACTTGTCATTTATCTGTACGTGTTTATGAATGACAAAATAATGCAAAAGTTCCTTGGCTGTAAATGTATAAGTCTCTCTAAAGCAAACCCGTTATACTTTATGTTCACTGGTACATTGTACTCTTTTATTCTAGTCGTTCAATGATTCCTTGAGCTTTGTTCAGCTTCCTTGACTTTTTTTATTTGGCTTTGGGTGTCCCAAGTGTGTTTGGAATCTGTGTGTCCATCCCTGCAATATCACTGATACTTTCTTACAGTGTGTTCCTCTGGCCCTGAAGTATTTTTCTTATGTTCCTGTTATCCTTGGATAGTCCAGTGACCCCTTCTGTTGGCTCCTCAAATCATTTTCACTGCTCCTTTAGTCTCCCTAAGCGGCTGAGAAGAAAGTATTGAACTAATATTAAATCCTGTATTGCAATTTATTTGAGTGGTGGAGAAAAGATATTATTCAAGATGGTTATCAGCTGTGTGTATGTGCATGTGTGTGTACACTTAAAATGTATATTGTATATGATACATACATATAACATCTACACAAGAGAAAAACTTACTCCAGAGGATTTGTATTATAAATTTTTTATTCAGTAGAACATTCATCTTAAGTTATTTTTCTAAGTGCTTCAGCAGATTTTACAATAGACTGATTTCACTTCAAATATTGGTTCTTAGCTACCTCTGAGGGTTAGTGGAATACAGGCTGGGTTTTTTTACTAAAATTTACAGATGTCCCTAAAATAGTTGGTATTTCATCCTCATGAAATAAATTTATGAAGCCAGGAAAGAACAAATAAAAAGCTACAAAATCTTTGAGGCATTTTCTGGCAAACATGATGCTTCACGAGCGGAGAAATATGTTTGGATTAGAATCAGATGTGCAAACTTGCCTTTTCGTGTAACACCATTGAGGTTCTGTCCAAGTAAGACCGTTTTTAGAACTGATTGCTGGTTTCATTAAATGTAAACTGTTCATCCCACTGCTGTTTTTCAGAACAAGAAGAAAACTTTGAGTTTATTATCGTTTCTCTCACCGGCCAGACCTGGCACTTTGAAGCTACCACATATGAAGAAAGAGATGCGTGGGTACAAGCCATAGAGAGTCAGATCCTGGCCAGTTTACAGTCGTGTGAGAGCAGTAAGAATAAGGTAAGGTGCACAACTTCACATTGAAAGTGAGCTAGGGCTATTGATCATTAAAGAGAATTCAGGATCTAGGGTATTGTGAAAAGTAAACATATTCAGCAAGGTCCATGTACTTGTTGGACACAGCTAAGGAAAAGTAAACCATGCAAATTTGTATGCCTCCAAAATAATTCAATATGAGACATATTTTATCCTGTTGCACATTCTGATTTTATATTTAAATAATTTAAATTATTATTTATTTATTTTTTGTCTTTTCCATCTCTCGTAATTTCAGATGTAGAATATTCATCTTTTGGTTGGATCATTTGCTCTAACAATACAAACTGTATTTTGGGGGGGAGGTCTATGGGAAAGCCTTTAAGGGCTGAGAAAAGAACAGCTTATTTACAAGCTAAGTCTCTACTGGATGCTACTGGGTTTCTCCATGGCAGCGTTCCATTAAATGCTCTGGATTACTTAATAGTAATGTGCACTGCTATCCCTGTGAGTAGGAGAAGACTTGTGTGTAAGGTGGTACACATTTCAGAAGTAATGATCAATTATTCTTGTATCCAAATGATGTTTTTGTGAAGCGACTGTGTAGTTTTTCTTTCCTTGAATTAAATGTAATTCATTCTTTGTGGTTTTGTTATTAGGCCAGTCTCAGGGGGAACCAATCAGGAAGCAAAAGCCTGGTCCTTTTTGTGGTGTCCTGGGGATAGGCTTCCCCCATCACATTCATATTTGGCCCAAGCAATTTCTTCTGCTTTCTCTGCAAAACCTCCCCCAACCCACAGGTTCTTTCTGTAGAGGGCTGCCAGTTTGCTATTCTTGAGCCTCTTGATTTTTCAAACATTTAATAACTAGAAAACAAGAGGTGAGCGGGGAGATTCTTTTCACAGACCTGTAGATCCTTTTAAAGGAACTTCTTAATGATTTATATTCTGTTTTGTCATTAAGTAGGGGACCTATATTTTGAAATGACTGCCTTTTTTTATTACCTCTATAATCAGGGTAAACCAGACCAAACTAATTATCATCATAATGTAATTTACTTCCCATTTTTTTAAAAATTGACTTTTTATATCTGAGGTGGAGAAAAATCACTGCCCATTTATTTCTCTGGCCTGTCTTCATTGAGCTCAGTACATTACAACAAGATGACAATGAAATATTACGCTGCGAACATTAGTACAAAACGTTAATATAATAGGAGGTAAAGAATGCTGGTTTGAATATTTAACACAGTAACTGAAGAGAGAATTACGTTTTGGTTATATAAAGGCAAGAGACAAAAAAAAAAAAGAAACCACTTAAAAGTTATATTTGTATTGAGGTTTTCTGGGAGAAGTTAGTTGGTGATTGGTCCTGCTTTAAGCAGGGGGTTGGACTAGATACCTCCTGAGGTCCCTTCCAACCCTGATATTCTATGAAGTTTTTATCATTCACCTCTGGAACTAGGGCTCAAGAAGCACTTGGAAGGCATAAGTGAAATGAATTATATTATCTCAGTACTCAGTGTCCTGTTGACAGAGCAGAAGTATATATGTGAAACGATCATATATATGACCTGATGGAGCTCTCATTTAATTCAGTGGCCAATAATTTGGTGCAGTTCGCACTTTCTGCCTAGGAGAGATTGCAAGATTTAGCTGGTTTTTGAGGCCAAGCTACCTCTACATGGGCAATTGTCTTTCCAGGTCAAAGTAGAGGTTATGGGCAGGCCACAGTGGAAAGAAACACCCATTGTAGCCACCTGATTAAATCTGATCTTTTGATGATAAAAGGCTTTCAGTTCAGCTTCCTTTGCAGACCATCCCTTAGTCTTCCTGTACACAAGCATACATACCAGTAAAAAAAAAAAAAAGGGGGGGGGTTATAAATAAAGTTATATAATTTATCTCCAAAAAGTACTTTACATGTGATCATGAATGCTGTGCTTCATTTTTCAGCTCAGCTTTCCTCTACACAATCCCATTATTGGTCAGAGTGCAGTCCAATATCTCATAAATGCACAGACTTCCTGTGTTCTATGCATGGAGCTTCAATAAAAGTTTGAGCTGTCAGAAATATGGATGAAAATGGGCAGCTATGCTTGTCAGGCACTGAGCTGCAGTACTTAAAGATGCCAAAGGATCAACTCTTTGAGAAGCAAACTAAAGATGTCCAATTCCCTGATCATGTTCATTCAACCCTGATCTGAACTTTCTTTTTTTTCTTTTTCTTTTTGCTTTTCACATTGCTGACAATTGTGTGTCTAAACCTTTTCATTGGGTTCTTATTTCTTGTGTGTGTGTTTCTTTAAATATACACAGTCCCGACTGACAAGTCAGAATGAGGCCATGGCCCTTCAGTCAATAAGAAACATCAGAGGCAATTCTCACTGTGTGGACTGCGAGGCACAAGGTGAGTATAGCCATTACTATAGAAGGACTGTTGTTATCCTTGGCTTTATAAAGCTTACGCATTCTCTTTGGTCCAGGGTTACGTGAACACCTGTTCTGATTCTTTCCCTCTTGGTATTGTATTCCACATCCCTTTGCAAACTTGGTGTTCATTATGAAGGTTGATTAGTCAGGTTTACTTTACATTAATTTGTTATTAATACATGCTATGTTATTATAAGCCCTGATTTTTCGCCCGTATTTCATCTGTCACATTAAACATGAGTTCATACATTTTGACTTCGAAGTTGAGGAAAAAATGGTTTTGTTTCATATTTCTTTTCAACATAAGATGCTACCATTGTCCTCCAATAAGGAAAAAAAATCATGTGCCCTAGCAATGTTGTTAGATGTGTAAAGCTTTGCTTGAGCTTTCTGCAGTTTTCATATTACTGACAAAGGAAAATAAAACATTCGCTAGTAGTGGAATGCTACAAAATTGATTTTGTATTTCTTTCTCGTAGTGCTTTTTTTTAATTCTGAATTCTTTTAAAATATATGGACTAACAGTTAGCAAAGGATTGGCCAGTTTAATTTCAGAGGTGCTGTTCTCACTACTCTTTATTACCCCCTGCTTCTAGGGGTTTGTAAGTCAGCTATAAAAATTAGCTCAGGGCTGAAACTTAACAATACAAGGTCCCAGCTGAGAAACAATCAATTGGAGAAATAGGACGAAAGGGTATTTGAAAATTCTTATTTCTTTTACGTTTGAAAATCATACTCATTTCTTTTAATTGTACAAGGACCAAAAATGAAAATTTAGTAATTTCTGTTGCTTTTTTGTGCTTTTATCTTAAAACTGATATTTTATAGACCCGTTGTTTTATAAACTTGTCTATTTAGTTATCAACTTAAATCTTTGTAGCACCTTCCCTAGACTTAAAACAATTCAGTAATGCAGAAGTTTTCACACACTTAATACACTGTCCATATAATGAACAATAAAACTGATCTCAATAACCCGCCAAGAAACTCACCATAACCCTATCCCATCAACCTGCTTCTTCCTCACGTAGCTTGGAGGGGATGTGGGTATCAAAAGACTACTGGGCATTTAGAATAGAAAGCTAATGTGTAACGAAAACATGTAAATGTCCCTGTTACTTTAGAAAGATTTTTTTTACTTTTTAGAAATGTGAGTAGAGTCCATTAAGATCCTCTCTGTTTTCTTCCTTTCATTGCCCCTTCAGAGGGCCCAGTTCATGCCAATGCCTCCTTGCAATTAAGGCAGGTTTGACATTACTTCCATTGAAATCTATCAGATATTCATAGGTTGTTGAAAGTGGGTCAAGAGTAATGCCGGGAGCTGAGCATGCTGGTTCTGTAGTGTTGGCCTAGTTGGCTTGGACACTGAGTACTAGAGCTCTGGGCCCTAATTTAGATACCGTCAAGGCAGCGCATTGACCTGCTCTGCACAGATCTTTGGTGTAAATTTTACAGATACTTTTTACAGGGACTTTACATTCTATAAGCCAGTAATCCAAAAAAGAAGAATATATATGATAAACTAATGGGTTTGTTGCTTTAGGATATATTCTATCATAGACAGACTAAAACAATTGTTTATTAAAGCATCTTTCCTGTCACTATGGTTATCAACATTGAGATTTACTCAGCGACTGATAGAGCTCAAGTGAAATATATAAAATATACATACAGAAATGGCTCATTTCTATGCGAGTGCTGAGAAACTGCCTAAATATGTATTTTGTTCATTCAAAATACTAGTGTGTGTCAGTAAACTACATTGTGAAATTCGGTTTTCCTGCTTTTTTACTTTTATAGGATTTCACTAAAACCTCACTCCAGTTGCCCAGAACAGGCTAGACGGGGGTATATGATACCTTCACAGGTCTACCTCATAGGCCTTGCTGCTAAGGTTCAAGCAGTCAGTTATTAGCGTACTCAGAGACTTAGCTCAGAAGTTCTGTGGGAGGGGCAAGTGGCTAAAAGTCTCCATTACAAGGTCACCATTAAATGTGAAGCTTTTATTTTGAAAAGGAATTCTTCAAGCATGCATTCTGAGAGAGCATCTTTAAACAGCATTTTGCCTTCCTGGGCCTGCCAAAGTCTCTTTCTTCAAGCCTCGTTTTTGTAGGTCCCCATTTCTGGCATGTATGCACTCCAAACACTAGAGCTCAGAACACTTTGGAAAGCAATGGCCATTATGGGCCAAGTCTGCACCCTCGCAAATCCAAATATTCAGAAGCAATGGGATACATAAGAGATTGCATCCCCCAACCAGCCTTCAATTCCTTTCAACTACCACCAGCAGCTTCATGATCAGAATCCTCATTCATCCTGTTTTTCCAATGTTCTCATCAGTTACCTTGTTAGCAGTTGGTTTTAGTGATTTAGGTTCTATTGGTGTTACTACTTTTGTGTTTTATTGGTTAGGAATAACCATTGCCGGGTTCCAGCAGCCTGGCTCTTTACAAGCCTTGGACTTAGGTTTTATCAGTGCCCTTCTATTCTGTTCCCATGTCAGCACAGAGTGATAGAATAGGTGTCCCAGGGCAGAACACTGTACCTTTTGCATGACTCAGATGTCATTGCCAGACCAGAGTACTTGCTGTGTCTCAGAAGGACGCTGTTGTGGCAGTGCACAGCTTGTGCTGCCTTATCCCAGAGGCTATGAAAGGAATTGGAATCCCTGCTTTGACTTCCTTCTCGAGGAGCCACATAAGACAAGTGGTGTTGCTGAGGAAAACGCAGCTGAGTCTGTGCCTCAAAGTGCTTTGGCTCTTTCCATGAAGAGGCCAAAGGGGAGAGATCCAAGGATAGATCTGAGTCCGGTCCAACGCCTTCAAAGAAGCTCCCGAGAGTCATGGGTCCAGTGAGCTTAGAGTCTCCAAGATCATAATAAAGAAAAAAGAAGAATGGATGTGGTAGCAGTTCAGCACAGGGCAAATCATCTAATCCAAAGGAGCTGGGACAGTTAATATCTTGGTACTACACCTCTACCTCGATATAACGCTGTCCTCGGGAGCCAAAAAATCTTACCGTGTTATAGGTGAAACCGCGTTATATCGAACTTGTTTTGATCCACCGGAGTGCGCAGCCCCTCCCGCCCTCGGAGCACTGCTTTACCACGTTATATCAGAATTCGTGTTATATCGGGTCGCGTTATATCGGGGTAGAGGTGTATATGCCCTTTTTTTAGATTATTACCAATCTGATTGTGGTTCTCTTCCAGGTGAAGAGAAGGAGGAACTTCTTGGCAGGGATAATGACTCTGAGCATCTCCTTCATCTTGATGCAAAAGTATTTGTATCACCATTATCTCTTGTGGATTTCAAAAGTTTTCAGAACTTCTTATACATGTGCTGAAGCTTTTAATCTGGAAATACCAATAGTTCTACAGAGGTCACATTTGCTGTTTGACACACTGGAGAAAAAACAAAAGGAAAGAATGGCTCATCCAATAAATATAGCTCTGCTTGAACAGTTCAGGACCTTTGGCTCATTCTAGCATTGTCTTGCTGTATCCAAAAAGGAGAAGAGAACCAATCATGTCCATACAAATGGTTTTGAGTATTTTTACAATACTCTAATCCCAGGGTTATAGGCGATATCAACAGGGAGTGAAGCAGGTTGGTCCAAAAAGTCCTTTTGATTTGCACCTTCTGAAAAAGACAGCAAGTGTATTGTCAGTTATCAAGCTCTACTTGATAGGTATGTTTTTTCACCCTGTATCAGCGGTGAACCTTTTTTGCAACACATGACATGAAATTACAAGGGAAATATTCACTTTCATGTGGCATGCTGGAAGTGCAGAGGTCAGTGGCACTTCTGCGATGTTAAATTTCAGACGAGAGCTTTTCTGTGCTCTTATTTATATTTTAGAGCATCACACATGATGAACGCCATATCATTCACCCATCAGTTCCTGATGTCTGCCTTTAAATTCATTTGAGAACAATTGTTCAGAAGAGTACATTGAAACAAAGGTCATCAACAACACTATTGCTTTTTTTTTCATAGAATCAAAAAAATCAGACCATTTGTTCCAAGCTTGCAAAACTTTGTTTTTGGGACTGAATTGATTATTTAATTCAGTCCCGTCCCTTTCTTTTTCTTCTTGTTGGAACTGAGGTCAACAGCTTGGGTTTTCTTGGGGTCATTTCCCAGGACCTCAGCCATCTCATTCTTAAGTCTGTCCATATCTACTCACTTAAGATCTGTAATCTTCATACATGACCATATTTTCTAGCTATTGAAACTCGAGATACCATCCTGAAAAGATTTCTAGTGACTTCTTGATTGTATTAGAGTTTGGTACGCTACTTTGATGTTACTACCATTGTCCATGGAAGTAGATAAATATTTCTTCAGCAAAGGATAGGGAAGGTGAATTTAACAATGCTCAAAGACAGTCTAGGGTCTCCTGTCATCCTGCCATCGGGGATCCAACACAGAGACCTTTAGTCTTGGCACGTGCAATTATTAAAAGATCTCTGGGAAGACTAATCTAAATATTTCCTTAACTGTGAGCTAGCTCGTTTTGAGCTAGCTCTATTCTTAATTTTTGTGCAAATAAATCTGCTGAAGCCACCTTTTGAGTTTCTTGCAGAATGTTCTCCTTTCCACCGGAGCCTGGAGACATTTTGAGTGGCAATCGCTTCTGCAAAGAAGAGTCTGAGAGATACAAGACCTGAGGACTGTACCTCAGTGTTTCATAAGAAAATACTGTAAATTCTTCACTAACGTCCTGAGTCAGCAAAGCACTTATATATGTGCTTAAATCCCATTTACACCTCTACCTCGATATAACGCTGTCCTTGGGAGCCAAAAAGTCTTACTGCATTATAGGTGAAACCACGTTATATTGAACTTGCTTTGATCCACCGGAGTGCGCAGTCCCCCCCCCCCCGGAGCACTGCTTTACCGTGTTATATCCGAATTCGTGTTATATCGGGTCGCTTTATATCGAGGTAGAGGTGTATTTCATTGAGGGTTAAGCACATGCTTAAGTGTTTTGCTGATTCAAGGCCTATGATGGTTTCATATGTTCATTTACAACACACTATAAACGTGTTAATAGTTTTTCATAAATCTGACATACTACCCCGGGAGGCCAGATTATATAGTGTGGATGATGAGTGCGTTTGTAGAACAAACATATTTGCCCATCTTTGATAGAGTCTGTGGCTTGTGAGGATAGATCTAAGGGAAGGCCACCTGTACTCAGAGAGAGTCTTTAAATGGGTGAGACTGTGTATTAAATGTTGTTATGGCCTTAACTCCAAAAATTGAGGATGCTGAGCCATATTCTGTTAGATCTCAAGCAAATTTTACCACATACTTGAGGGATGACTGACACAGAAATATATAATGCTGATATTTGCAGTTCTGTTGAGGTTTTTTGCACCACTGTTCACTTAATCTGGTTATTTGATATGATGCCCAGTACAGAAGAGCTGTCTTGCCATTTTTATTTAGCAAATACTCCTCAGAACCTCCTCCTTTATAAGTTATTACTACTTGATCATCTTTCAGTGCAGACACGTCTGAAGAACTTTGGTTCTTTGAGATAATTGCCTATATAGATCCACATTCCCACCCTGCTTGCTCATGTAGTCAGAAAAGAAACTTTATATATCCTCACTTCTGAGTATCACAAGACCTAAAATAGAGTGCGGAGCTGCAGTTTCCCCTTTGGGTGTTAGCAATATCATCAGTGTTGGCGGAGAAACACAGAACCCTGAACTCGGGCTTTGGCAGGTCAGTGAAAGAGATTTTATTCCAAGTTGCAATCGTTTGTAAATTGTAATCTAACACACATTCTCTTACTAATTTAGACCTTAAACAATTACTTTTTTAAAATCTTTTCAGCTAACTTTCAATACTACACAAGTCCCCCAATGTACTGTTTGAGACATGAAAATTATCTCTTAAAGATGACTGAAGGGTGAGGGAGGGGAAATAATTTGTGCCTTTTGTAGATCCTGTATGATGTACAAAGATTGCATGAAAGGAATAGCAAGTCTTGTCTTCCTTGTTTTCACAGGACTCACTGGAAATCTAAGATTTGTACTGCGCTTTCTCAACACTTAATCAAAGGACTAGGAGTGACAATGAAGCTTTAACAAATAATTCTGTTCTTCTGTTTGAACTAATTTTTTTTTTAATTCTTTATTAGGGCTGTTCAAAACATTTCCATCAACTTTTTTGGAGGGAAAATTGAGTTTTCATTTAAAAAAAAAATTATGGAAAGTATCTGCCTTCCTTGAAAATATTTGAATTTTTGTCCAAAACCCCAATTTTTTGGCTGAAAACCAGAAAATATTTTCAGTTTTTGGCAGCTTTCAGTTGCAGAAAATTCAGGAAAAAATCATTCTTATTGAAATTGAAATTTCCTACATCAGTGGAGGAATCCCATTTTCTGACCAGTGTTAACATTTACACAGTGTGAATAAAAATCTCCTGCCCTTTGAACCAGGTTTTTCCTGCTTGATATTGTGATATCATACTAGCTCTTCAGATCTCCATAGTGTCTCCCAGGAAAAGAAAGGTAGACAAGTTCTGACATCAAGAAAAGTACCTCCAAAAATCCTCTCTTGGAAGTGTTTCATTGCATGTGTTAAAATTAATGTTTGTTCAAGAGAGGTTCGGACAAACTTACATTTAAATAACATAGCATGGTTATAAAAAATGAAACATCTTGGGAAATGACTTTGAATTTCTTGGCTTTTGCCAGGTTTGTCATAGCCTTGTCTTTTGAGGGGTAATTTTTTTTCCTGTAGAATTGTTCTTGCTAGTACACTAAAAAAAAATTGCACATTTTCATCTTAGTACTTATCTCCCTGATCTTAGAGATGAACACATACCCCTCAGCATGTTAGATGTAAAAGTCATAAGTAGTTGATGAAATAGATGGTTATTAAGGGAGTTGATATAGTTAGCAACAGCAACATTGTATCAAGTAACTTTTTCTTTTGTAGTAATTGGCTACAAGTGGTTCCAGTTCCCAAGGAGGGGCTTTCTACCACTTCATCTGAGCTACCTACTACCCTCTTTTTATCTTCCCTATTGCTTCTTTTCTCTTTAGAATCACAGGTTCCCTTAGTCTGTTGGGGTGTTGCATGTGCCTTCCTTTGAGACCACCACTATTTCTTGTCAACTCATTTAGGGTCTGTTGGAGGAATGGCACATTGAGAGGGCTAGACCTAGGAACCAAACTTTTGCCTCCGCTTCCTAACAGTGCTGTGAAACCAAGAGACCTGAATATTACTCCTCTTGCTTCCCCAGCCAAAACCATTATCCATAAGCTCTTCAGTTCTGAGAGAGGTTTAGAATGTGTCACAAGGAATTTTGGTTTTGTTTTTTTTAGTGATTGTTTGTGTCTGTCTTCCTGTAGACCCTGACTGGGCCAGTCTGAATCTGGGAGCCCTCATGTGTATTGAATGCTCAGGTATACACCGGAACCTTGGCACGCACTTGTCACGTGTCCGGTCACTTGACCTGGATGATTGGCCTATAGAACTCATCAAGGTGATGTCATCCATTGGGAACGAATTAGCAAACAGTGTCTGGGAGGAGAGTAGCCAGGGACGAATGAAACCCTCATCAGACTCCACAAGGTAGGCTATTTTATTCCCTTTTGTGTACAAGGCATCCATATGTCAAAACTGTGACTAAGATTTAAAAAAATGAGTATCTAAAACTAGCCACATAAATACATATTTAGGCATCTAAATCTATGTCCTGATTTTCAAGGCTATTCGCTTCAAGGGGAGCCTGCTGGGTCTTAGCACTTTTTACTACATATGGACTTCTAGGAGCCAAATTTCAGGCGCCATTTTAGCATATGTCAGGTAAACGTGAAGTCTGACCAAAAAGTGCCAAAAATTGAGTGAGCTTGGTAACTTTTGTGCTTGCCAAGGCTGCCTTAGCAGTTTAGAAGTCTTGGAAACAGGGGGAAATTTAAGCCTCCCAAACTTTTGTTCCATCATTTTCATTAGCTTTTGATAAACCAGTAAATCTGACCCTCTGGATACTTTACTGTAATTAGCAATGTGCTTTCCATAGTCACAAGCTAACCCAGCAAATTGCTGTCTTCTTTTACACCTAACTGTGAATTCTTGGGACTAGATGTTATTGCTCTTATTGTTTTGAGAGTTCTGTTCCAAATGAGGCTGCTTAATTTCCTTATGCAATCTATTGGGTAAGTGTATGTTTTTCCATAACTAATACAATATTTTATCTACAAATCATAGGTCAGCATACAGAAGATCCTCTCACTATAGTTTGTTATCCTAAAAGAAAACTAAGATTATTTTTGTATTGCATCCATGTTATCAGTGGCAAATGGCTTAGAAAAAAGTTTAAATGGTTTAGAAAGAAAAGTTAACTGTGATGGGTGTTAAATGTAAGAGCTGATATTCACACTGAACAATTAAGAAATACTTGCTTGGGGAAAGCAATGTGACCACTGGCAGTCTCTCTATCAGTAGAGCAGATTTCAGACATGAGGAGGAGCCTGGACTACCTTGCCCAGCTAGTCCAACCTTTTAAGTTGCCTTCAGAAGTGCATGTGTTGCAGTTGTCACAGTGCCACACTCCAGGGGGCTAGCGTGTAGAGCTGACTGCATCTGAGCACCGTTTAGTCCCCAGGTATCAGATATTATGATGGAGGTTTAGCACTTGCTGTCAGTATTTGCCTCCTGGATGTAAGAGAATAAAACAGAAGGGTACTTTTACTTTTTTTTCAATGCATATGCTTCATTTCTGGAGTTTATTGCATCCAATACTAGATTTACTGAAAGGATAACTGAATCTATACCTGTGCCTCCTACTACACAAGATAAATAGATTTGTCCTGTTGACTGTAATAAAATCAACCATATCTTACTGCATTATTTCGTTAGCACTGAAAAATGAATTTGTGGTGCCACCTTTGGTTCATCTTAGAGAATGAAGGCAGTGTATTAATCAGGCTATTTATATACACAACTGTCCATCTAAATATGTGCATACTCAGATATACACATGGAGTTCATATGCATAGAACCTGTATATGTGTGCATATATTTGTTACACATCAAATACATTAAGAATTTCAAAAATTAAACTAGATCTATCTTAAAATATTGTTATTAAATCAGCAGCATTATCTAATAACTGTAGACTTAATCTGAAGACACTGTTTTGTTGTTTTGTTTGACTATAGATCTTTAATAATGAGGCATTGGAAAGATTTATCGATTCCGAATATTAAAGATAGGCTTCACTCTCAATATTTCAATTCACAATATTTTTAAAGATTGCTGTAAGGCTGGACATAATAAATGAAAGAAATTGTCTTGGTAAACCCAGGCCCCAAAAAAGATCTCAATGGAAGGAGAACACTAGTGTTGAAGTCAAATAATTCAGTTCTCTGACAGTGGCTTGGTTAGAGGTTTGCATTTTCTCTTTATATTCCGTACTTAGAATTTATTTTAAGCTGTCCCTGCATCTACACAATTCCTTTACGTATGTATTTTGTAGTGTAGTTTTCCAGCTGTTTTTGTTTTTGTCAGAAAATTAATTAATCTTTAAAAAAAAAAAAAAAAAAGGTAAATACTTTTGAACACCATGGTATCATGCACATTTATAAATGCTCATTTCAGGCTCCGTGTGTGTATGTATAAATATATATAATGGAGGCATTGGTAGCAACAGCATAGTTAAGGTTGTGTTGAAATTTTAGCTTAAAACAAGACTAACTTCCCTCTGTTACACACCTTAATTAATGATTTTGTTTCTCAAAATTTGGAACAATAACTCATCGTGGGACAATTGCATTTTTGATGGCCTTTAGTAAAATATTTAATAACTTTTGTACAAGAAAATTTTAAAATTCTCCTATTTTGAAGTTTAACCCTGTTCTGTGACATTTAATTGGGTTCATCTGGTGTAAAATAATCATAATCATACTTGAAGTTTTACTCACCACCTCTTGGATATAAGTTAGGCACTAGAATTTTAAATATAACAAATTATTCAGCTAGTAGTTGTGTTACTCCTGAGTTGAGTTTCACAAAAGAAAGCCAACAGCCAGACACACTAGTATGGACGTGGAGTCTTGAGGAAAAAGTCCTGTGATGGGACATGAGATAGGTTATGGAGTTGGAAGGGTGAGCAGAAATCTAGATGGAGAGCTGGATGTTATGAGTTGTAGAATCATAGAATATCAGGGTTGGAAGGGACCTCAGGAGGTCATCTAGTCCAAACCCCTGCTCAAAGCAGGACCAACCCCAACTAAATCATCCCAGCCAGGGCTTTGTCAAGCCTGAGCTTAAAAACCTCTAAGGAAGGAGATTCCACCACCTCCCTAGGTAACCCATTCCAGTGCTTCACCACCCTCCTAGTGAAAAAGTTTTTTCCCAATATCCAACCTAAACCTCCCCCACTGCAACTTGAGACCATTACTCCTTGTTCTGTCATCTGGTACCACTGAGAACAGTCTAGATCCATCCTCTTTGGAACCCCCTTTCAGGTAGTTGAAAGCAGCTATCAAATCCTCCCTCATTCTTCTCTTCTGCAGACTAAACAATCCCAGTTCCCTCAGCCTCTCCTCATAAGTCATGTGCTCCAGCCCCCTAATCATTTTTGTTGCCCTCCGCTGGACTCTTTCCAATTTTTCCACATCCTTCTTGTAGTGTGGGGCCCAAAACTGGACACAGTACTCCAGATGAGGCCTCACCAATGTCAAATATGTAGTGGCTGAGTGACTTTATCATGGGGTTTGGAGGCTGAGAGCAGAAGGAGAAACCACTTGCAGAAGGAAAGTCAGTCTGCTCTGAGCCATAGCAGAAGTACTGCATGAGCTCCCTTCCACACGCTAAGGCTTACTGGTCCTTCACACAACTCGGGGGCACAGAACCTGAGGTCTGCTGGCTGGCACATGAGAAGCCAGCAGCTCATACACTCACAGCTTAGTGGCTCCCTGTCCTAGTGAGCCATAGAAGCTCCATCGGACAGAGGGGGTAGGGAATTACTAGTGCCTCGCTGCTTTCTCATCCTCCTGCACTTACCCGTTCGTCCTCCACCCCAACATGGTCACTCATCTTTCATGGCCCCACCAATAGCTCCACTTCCCCCATCCCACTCACTTCCTCTCTCTCCCACAGACCTGCTTAATTTCTCACATTTCCCACTCCACTCACCTCGCCCACTGACCCACACTCCCTCTTGCTTACCACATACCCCTCTAGCCTCTGAACAGGGCCTGCAGACACATGCTAGGAAATGCAGGAAGAGAGAATAACACTGGGGAACAAACAGTAGAAAAGAGTCAGAAGGATACGTAGTGTTTTCTGCCATTCCACCCTTCACGGTAACATGTCCTGGGTTTCATTTAGAAAACAGGTGGGAGTAGATTGGCTGGGGAGAGGTAAGGGATGAGGACCATGGCTGACAACTTTACTCTAGCACAATGGAACTTTCTACGTACTTGTAAATCTCATTTGTTCTAGAGATGCCAGCCCACAACTGTGGAACTAACTCTCACAGCAATGTGTAGCCTATAGGGCTAGCCTGCTTGCTTGCCTATATATCTTTTCTTATGAGGTTAATCATTTGTTATATTATAGGTTTGTTATTTGTTGTTATAATGGGTTTAGCGATTTGTATTAGAGTATTTTGGCTGTTTGTATTAGAGTATGTTGGCTGTAACGCAAGGAAGCTACAGGCAACATCTTGTATGTTAAGCTAAGGCAAGTTAACATACTTATGTTTGAGACCTTTACCCTAGGTAGGTGGTGATGAGCTAAAGCATACAGGATATATGTTTGTGACCTTTAACATAGATAAATGGGCATGTTTAGAGCTAGTTGGTAGGTAAGGCCACCCAAGTTCTTGGCCTTTTTCAGACTTAACACATACACCACAAAGAACATGGAAACAACCAGTTAGAACAGAAATAACAGAGGTGAGGATGAGCTAATGGTCACTAATAGTTACGGATATGTCATTAATACACACGGACATGCCAGCCTATAGAGTAAGGATACCCTAACATTTTTGTAGGTGAGGAAATTAAGTTTGGACATGGAAGGAGAGCACTTAGGGCTCAGGCCTTATAAGAGGGGCAACCCACCATGTTAGGTAGGTTCCGCACGTTGATTGGTAGTTCATCCTTGTTAGTTCTTAAGTTCTTCACCTTCCACTCAAGACTTGAGGAACCTGGACCATGAAACTCCGTTGGCGTGCCAGAGGCAAGGCTGGTCTTTTGTCTCTTGTCACTAGGTTATCAAGGAAGGGTGTGAGTATATTAATCAAAAAACCTTTATAGTATATAACACCACATGTACTGCTAGTATTGCTTTTGTAATTGGTTATTTGATTATTATTTGATTACTATTCAATTACTAATGTTGATAAATGCAAAGTAATGCACATTGGAAAGCATAATCCCAACTATACATATAAAATGTTGGGGTCTAGCTGTTACCACTCAAGAGAGAGATCTTGGAGTCATTGTGGATGGTTCTCTGAAAACATCGACTCAATGTGCAGCGGCAGTCAAAAAAGCGAACAGAGTGCTGGGAATCATTAAGAAAGGGACAGATAATAGAACAGAAAATTATCCTGTTGCCTC